GGGGGGTGGGCGGGAGAAGGGTGGTGTCTGAAATGTTACTATGATTACCAAAAGACAGAAATTGATCCAATGTTGAACATACATGTGTGCCCAATGTATTTATTTATTTTATTTATTAATTTATTTATACATGTACATGTACAAGTTTCATTTTCTATTTTTTCAAATATCCTTTTTCTACCAGAAGTAAAGATAATGTTGAGTTCTGGTCATGTGATTGCATTGTGAAAGAAACGGTGTGGAATAGTTCAGAAAAGGTTGATCATCTAGCATATAAGAATTTGTGTGTATTGCAAGGTTCTGGAATCATCAAAATGATAAGAAATTTGGCCCAGTTTTGGTAAAGTTACAAGCACTCTACACAGAAAGATGTATATGGGACTACACGAACATGTGGCATAAAAATCTGTCCCGATTTTTATGATATTACATGCCATATTTAGAATATTAAGGCATTTGAAGAGCCATGCTTTTCAGGGAACATTTTTTATCTGATGTTCTTCCACACTTGCATAACAACAATGATAACGCTCACAAAGTATTTTTCACCTCTTCCCAGAACTCAACCTTCTCTTAAAAAGTAAAGATAATCTTTGAGGTGAACATCCATTTCATACAATAGGGATCAGACCCCCACCTACAGTGTACATGTGCAACGTAGAGAGGGGAGCTAGCTAGTTCAGAGTCACTGGTACACTCATCGCAGCCAGCTGCCTTGTTTGTTGTTTGCTTATTGTTGATCACCAGTGGGTCTTTTGATCTTCTTTTGTTCCTCCAGAGAGAGAGAGAGAGAGAGAACACCATGTCCGTGCACCATGTCATGTGTAATGGCATTGTGGTAGAGTTGTTTGTTACGAAAAAACAAGTGATACATGTATACAGGTCAACATGTAGCCTACATGTACATGTGCATGTTTCATGCATTATTCTTTTCTTCTTTTTTGATATTCACCTTTCTTCCCCCTTTTCCCCCTTTTCCCCCTTTTCCCCCTTTTCCCCCTTTTCCCCCTTTTCCCCCTTTTCCCCCCTTTCCCCCTATGAATAATTGATAATCGAGTGATACCGGGGGTACATAATTTTTATATATCTTTTTGTAAAAACATTGTATTGTACTCATATTATGTACAGTACTTGTTTTCTAAATGTCTAAGTGTTACAGTAACTTACATGGTACATTAAAATAACATTTGCATTAAAATAACATTTGCATTAAAATAACATTTGCATGAAAAAGAATCACAGGTCATTCAAATGTATAATGGAAAAATCAACTTGGACCAGGTTTTATTTAACTACAGCAAAACAAACAAAGACACAGCCAAGGCTACTGAACATGTTTGTGTCCATTTATTTAGCAGATGTTTCTGCATTTATTGATAAATCAAATATAAAACATTCATATAACAACAAAAGTATATTTATAATTAATTTACATAAAGAGTGACAACTTAAATACACACATATAAAAATATATATATATATATATATATATATATATATGTATAATTGAAAGCTTGAAAGTATGGAGGTAATTAAAATAATCAAGTTAAATGCAGAGGCCTACTATCATAAGCAAGAATGCTTGAGTCGTTTGCAACCGGGAAAGGGAGGGGGGGGGGGTACATGTACATGTACATATCAAAAGCCAATTATTTCAAATTTTGTTTTTCGGTTTATTGTTTTTTCTTTCTTATGTCTGTAACATGTATGTACTTTTCTCTAAGCACCATGAGCACCGAAAGGTGGCCCCACGCGCTATACAAGTATTATAATAATTATTATTAAGCCACATTATATTGAACCTGTTCTCTACCCCTTAACCCCCTTCCAAAAAAGAAAAAAAAAAAACACACAAAAATATATTTAAAAGAAGTGATAATGATGTATAGAAAAAATATATTTAGAAAAATAACAAATATATTGTTCAGACAACATTCCATGAAAACTTACATTGTGTACATTTTTTCTTCTTTTTTCTACACACTGCAGTACATATCGTCCTATTATCATTCTTTTGAATGAAGACATGAAGATACAGTACATGTATTGTGAGGCATATTTCCTAATAAAATGCATTAATATTATTTTTTAACTCAAGAGTTGTATTTACATGTACAAATACATGTACATTACATACCGGTAGTATCTCTCAGAGCTTTTGTGCAGTCTCTACAATACCGGTATGTCAATTTAAAGTGGATTTCATAACAATGTAGGCCTGCATCTCTGCAAGATTCCATGTGGATTTGCATATGGTCGCAAAGTACATGTGTATGTCTGAGTCCCTGTAGAAGTAATGTACATGTTACATAGTACATCATCATTCATACCGGTAGGCCTTTGGTGGAATGCAACTCTTCTTCAGACTTGTTGAGATTCTTCAAGTGTTGATACATGGGTGGCATGTTTATCATTTAGAACCTGTTTTTCTCCTGTTTCTAATATTTACATGTACCTACTGTACATGTACATAGAATTGAGGCGAAACATGTTATTGTACACAGTCTGTTTTGTGCAGCTTTAGTCTGTATTGATTAAAGCAGGGATTTAGACTGAGCTACAGGGGTAGTTTCAGTGTCTAGTGCTATTCTAAATTTGCATTTAAACTATTTAAGAAAACAAGAAAACAAAAATTTATCTGTAAATGTTTCATGTTTGTACATGGTTCACAGAAGTATGAAATTAGTACCCCCCCCCCCAAAAAAAAAGAAGGAGATATAATTAGTTAGCCTGCATGAACATGGAGCCTAACACTAACAGCAAACACGATTTACATGTACATCACGTACCTGTTGCATTGTATCATAGAACCCCCATTAAAATAAAAAAACAAATACCGGTACTGGGTATTGTTTAATCAATTGATACAAAGTTTAGTATAAAAGAGGCAATTATTATAATTTTTTCTTTTACTGTAGTAACATATTCTGAGTTATTTTTGCTGAAGTTCCTTCTACAGTGTACATATGTTACATAATCCTGAATTCCTTGAGATAACGAGGTCCACCCACACACTACCCCTTTCATACAGTTCTGTACTTAGCCCATTTCACACAGCCCAACAAAACCATTTTGAAAAACCATCGACTGTAATTTACACTAATGGGAAAAACCAATAAGAAACCGTCAGTGTTTGATAGTTATTTTGTATCTTCTTTTTTTTTGGTGAGGGGCGCATTTATACCGGTATGAGTTGTGCATACCGGTATAAATGCGCCACTTGTCGCTGCCCTGCATGCGTTAACGTAAAAGGGACGAGAGTTACGTGACCAAAAAACATAATAGTTCACAGGTATTTTTGTATGTTGGTGTCAGTCTGGCAGTGTGTCTGAGGTATTAGACTTTAGACATTTACATAAATGAAGAATTCTGTAGTACACACAGGCACAGCGTGTAATTATGTTTTCTAGTTTTTTTTCTTCTAGTGTTCTGTTGATGAACATTTCTGTACCCCCCAAAGTGGTTTTAACTTCACTTGAGGGTGTGTAAATATGATTTTAGGCCCTCTTTGGGGGTAGCAAGCAGCAGGGGGGAGACGAGACGTTAATGATGGCTTGATTGATGGTTCCACTTCATGACTTAATGCCACGTACACGTATGCACTCCATTTCAACATTAACATCAAATGTACATTTACATACCTACAGAGATTGACATGAAGCTAATAATAGATTTCACAAATGCATTCAAGTTTACAGACTTTTATACCCAAGACGGTCCCTGTCAATGAACGTACAACTTGTCTATTCAATCATTACAAATTATTGTATTTTGATAGTAATGATATAGTCTACATTTGTTAGTTGGTGCTATGTCAGACAAGCCTCTACGTTTGTAAACATTGTTTTATCATGGCTGTATAAAGTCAGAATCTTGACAGCATACATTTTATACATGAATCCATTAAAACATGAGATTCAAGCATACATTGTAATATTTCTGAATATAAAGTGAAATTAATCATGTTTTCAAGGTCCTGACACTACTGCCTAGTACAATAACATTAATCTCAAGAGCATAATTTATAGGGTTATAGACGTATAAAATCAAAAGCATGTTCATGAAATTATTTTTGTACTTCACAGCTCCATTCAATCTAGCAATTATCTTCTTCCTCTGTTCCAAACCTCTGATTTCCAATAACAATCTGTTTACATGTTTTGCTGCTATATTTGGAGAAAAGTAAACAAATAACATTGGTAGAAGGCCGTGCAATTAACATATTTTATGCTTGGCGTAATGTGGATGTGTCAATACACTGCGTGTTATTGAAATGTTTGTGGGAAAGCAAATATTTGGGTGGACACATGACCGTAAAATGAATATTTCAGAATACCAGCAGTTTGTTGTTGTGAGGTAAAATACATGTACCTGTGGGTCTACATGACATGTACAGGTATGCAATGTACATTTTTAAGTGTATGCTGTACTTCTATTTGATTTGTACATTAGTAGAGCATACATCCATGTAGATTGGAGATGAGTAGGGTGTTAACATACATTTATATACATACATGTACATGTACATGTATGCACTTCTTGTGTGCTCACACAAATATATTATCCATACTCCATAGGTGTTTTCTCATTTAACACCAACTAATTTAATGTGAAAATTGGTTCAAAATCTGTTTAAAATCCTTAAAAAATTATATTGTATATATTGTATTGTTTGTATGGGTTTACTATAAACACTGCCATCTTGTGATAGATGTGGGGCACTTTTTCCCCTCTGATCTAAATGAGGTGATTGATTTTCAAAGAAAATTAAGAATTATTTTACTTACAAGTTCTTACAATTCAGACAATCTGTGCGCCATGCTTTTCCTCTAATAGTAACTGTGATTATGCTAAAGCTTACATGATGTTTACCTGTCATATCAACAAAAATAGTACCTCTTTGCTGTACAAGTTGGGTTTGTAAACCTGTATGCCATGTAAAGCAATTTGTATTTCTCACTTGTTTTTATTGCATCTTTTTTTTTGGTCAATCCTTGCAGATACTGTTGTGTCTCCCAGGCAGAAAGCTGGTCAATCTGTCCCGGGCAACCCTCTGCAGACAACAACAATATCAACAACTCAAGATGGCAGCAACACTAACAACAGCACAGATGCTTCACCATCAGCCATATCAACAACATTGTATGCCACTGACATGGCATCAGAATCGGACTCCTCTGCCGAAACCCCGCCACAAGTTGCGAAAGATGCAAGAAGAACTTTGTCGCCATCACTGTCAGCGACATCACAGACATTACGCTCCACATCGTCAAGAAGTACAATATTAAGTGAAAGCATTATTAGAAGTTTAACCACGAATGCAAATGGCAATCAGACATTACCAACATCAGAGGTTGGCAACAGAGGGAGTAGTACTAGTGTAAAAGATTATTTATTAACTCATGGAGCTACGACAAGTGTTCCGGAAGAAGAGGTTAAACCACCCGAGGAGATGCAACAACCTGTTACTGGATCACGTAAGAACAAATAGAGAATATTGTAGCGCATTAAGATGGGAGACATGCAGTTGCAACACATGCACGCATACCACGCTCAAAGGTCATTGTATGGAACTCAACATACATGTAGTTCCCACTCATTCAAAATCTATTGTAGGGAACTTTTTCAGTGCTACATGAATTCGACCTCTGATCGAGCACAACTTCCATTGACGTACGACTATGTGTACTCTATTAGCTGTGGGGAATGGGCATTTTGTAGGTATTTTATTCTGTAGTGGTTTGAAAATTGTTTCTCAGAATTTTCTAGCAATGAACTGCAAATGTGGAGTGTGGAAAGTATGGTTACTGCATGTCTTTTGATTCATATGCATGTACATGTATTCAACTTAAGAGTAATCAAACATGCTCCTTGAAAATAAGCTCCAGGATTTAGTTTGTCAAAGATATACAGCAGCGCTTCTGGTTTAATAGCATTAATGGTTAGTGCTACAACTGGATTTTAGGTTAGAAAGTAAGTAAGAAAAAAAGTATAGTGTAGGTTGAAGTTTGGAATTCTATTGGTATTATAATTCAACTGCAGAGCCTTAGGAGCAAGACTGGAACTAGGTTTAATAACCTATGGGACTACTGTGTTAATAATCAATATAAGTTCAATATAAGTTCAATATAAGTTCTGTGTAGATGCCTCAGACAGAGAGTCATAAACTGATTAGTATGTCGTGAATATTAACAGCTTGTATAGACAGTGAAACCTGGGGGGTGTTTCACAAAGCCTTTTTTCAATGACAAATTACACAAATCAGTGACAAATCTGCTGATAACCAATCAGAAGCAAGGATTTCAGTAGCTTATAATAAAAACTGTCATTTGTAACTGATGACAATTTTTGTGAAATGGGGCCCTGATGTCAAGCTTACATTATACCGATCCATTTCCACTCTGGCATGACTAGTGGTTGAAAAGAGTGGGCTAAAGAACAAAACATTGAAACAGGTGATGACATGGGACAAAGTGCTTTAATATACTATGATTGATGTAGATACTGGATAGATGCTACAGACAGCTCAGAGTCATGTACCACTAGGGGGTTCAAGTCCCACCACGGCACTAATGTCCTTTGGCAAGACATTGATCTATGTTTGCCACTCTCCACCCAGGTGTTAAATGGGTACCCGGTAGGATGCGAGAGTTAATGTGGTTGGATGAGCAAGTGTGCGCTTGTATAAATGACGCCTGGCTGGAATGCTCCCCAGGGAGTGGAGAATGTGCATACATTGTGTGCAGGTAAGCCTGAATCCGATGACCGGGGTAACAATATATAACTGTAAAAACGCTTTGAGAGGGCTTGCAATCCTAAAAAGTGCTATATAAGAACAAACTATTATTATTATTACATGTACATGTATGTTTAGACTATTAAAATTTCTATAACCTGATGACAAGCTTATCAAATCAGACCGATTCATTTTTCACCCTGGCATGCAGGACCGATGATTGAGAAGAGTGGGCTGAGGAACAAGACGGTGGAACTTGGTGATGATGTGAGACTCAGGTGCCATGTTGATCCTGGAAGCGCTCTTCAATCGGAAATCTGGTGGAAGTTCAACGGGATACCCATAGGAGATAGTGCCTTCTTCTCCATCAAATCAAAGGCCAGATCGAGCTCCCTCAAAATCAATGGTACGACTTGACTTTTTATTTGCTAAGGATGGAAGCCAGGGACTTTCACACTTTTACTAATGTCAGAAGTAAACCCACGTACAGTCAAACCTGCATTAGCGACCACCTCTCTATAAAGACCACCTGTCTATTGTGACCATGCATTTTGTCTCCCATGAGAAAGAAATGTGTGTTGTAGAACCTGTCTAGAAAGGCCACCTGTCTAGAAAGGCCACCTGTCTACAGTGGCCACTATTTCTGTTTCCCTTGGTTGGTCTTTATAGACAGGTTTGACTGTATTTGTTACATACATAGTCTGCATGTGTGTGTCAAAAGTCAACTGTGGCAGACCATTGTATGTTCCGTTAGTCAATCAACGCTGGAAAGAGGGTTAATTAATCATTTCTAACTAGTCATTTCCTTTCATGAAGTATTTTACACATCCTTTGTCCTTTGAGGCAAATATAATGGCTTATACAGTAGTTTTGAAAGTGGACCAATTACAATGCAGCATCTCAAGAAACCATCATAATTTTGTCAAAATCCCATTAATTAAATGGGTTCATTTTATGACTTAATTTCATTGGGATTATAGTAGTGATAATAATGATTATGATGAGGATGAGTAGGATGATGGTGATAATTAGATTTATCTAGCACTACTAAATTATATTGGCAAAGTTCACTTACACCGTTTCTGTGAAATACTGCCCAAGGTTACAGCATACCAAGTGTCAACGCTCCATATCAGACAAACTAGTTTGGAACTGCCCACATACATCTTTTTATCAGATATATATGTAGCAGGGATAGAGCAGTCAATGAAAATATGTTGCATTTATAAAATAGACTAGAAAAACTATGCCCTTTTGAATTAATAGATTGTGAATATGTTTTTGCATTTTATTTACAGGAGCCAGCTTAGAGCATGCAGGCGTTTACACGTGTGTGGTGGAGAATCAGTTTGGCAAAACAGCATCTCCTCCTGTCCACTTGGTTGTTCTGAGTAAGTAGGCGTAGCGAGCCAAAGATGGAGTGTAACATTTAAATTATCTTGTTGATATCTATTATCGGTATTTAATTCTTTATTTTCTTTACAATATTCCCTTCTATGATTGTTATTGTGGAGTGAAGAAAACATACCGATAGTTATTGTTCTAGTATTATGTAGGCCTTCTGTCTGTGCAAGTTCAATATTTTTACAGTCAAACCTGCTAAAATAGTGACCACCTGTCTACAAAGACCACTTGTCCACAAAACCACATTTATTGTTTCCCTCGAAAATGGTTTCCCATTGAAACTTGTTCTAAAGAAACCTGTAGTGTACATAAAGATCACCTGCCTATAAAGACCACTTTTTTGTTTCCCTTGGGTGGTCTTTATAGACAGGTTTCACTGTATTAGAGAGAGGTCATATATCTTGGATATTCAACACATTTTGCTACAAAACTTGTATTTTTTGACAACTGAAATCATTTCCCTCATGACAATATTGTTGTTTTCTTTGTAGTGGCACCTACCATAGTGAAGGGTCCTGGAAACCATAGTGTAGGGTATGGCCAGCTGCTGAACCTGAGCTGTACGGTCGAAGCCTCCCCACCTCCTAGGGTAGCTTGGTTCAAGAACACAGAACCCCTTCCGGTAAGTACTGGTCCGGCTCTCTTTCTTAAACTGGGATCCTAGTTTTTAGGCTATGTTCTGATTGGATGCCCTGACACCTTATTTAAAGGGAAAGTCCACCTTGATATGAACTTGGTTTTAATAGAAGCAGGAAAAAGAGAGAAAAAGGTCAGTGAAAGTTTTAGCAAAAAAAAATTTTTTTAAAGAAGGTTATGAATTTTTGAAGGTGCTATCAATCAAACACAAGTTGGCATCTCTGTGACTTACTTGCGAGGTCCCGTCCTATTTGCCCAGGACTGAAAAACTTCAAAACTTAATAATTTCACTTAATAAATTTTTCAATCATCCATTCACCTAAATATAATTATTGCAAATATGTTTTATACAACCCCTGTATGAAACAAACCTATTCCATCATCAATAACCGGAGTGTTGGCTCAGTCAGTAGAGCGTCCGCCTCACAACCGGGAGGTCGTGGGTTCGAACCCCGGCCGCGTCATACCAAAAGACGTTAAAAGATGGAAGTTGTTGCTACCTTGTTTGGCGTTCAACAATAAGGGATAGAGCAACGTCGATCTGGCGCTGCTCAGTGGCTGCCGGGCTCACGATCAATTGGACAAAAAGAATTTCCGTTTCGGTTTAATAAAATTTGGAGTGGACTATTAGGCTATTATTATTAATTATTATTATTATAACAAAGAAAATGAAGTTTATAACATTTTCTGTTCAGAGCAAATTGGAGAGGAGCTTTTATGGAAAGTTATACAATTTTGAAGTTGTACCTGTATCTCCAATATTATAATATTTAGAGGCCAAATGGGAAGAAAATGTAAACATATTTTTAGGCATTATTCCCAGTCTTTCAGATATTATGCTTGATCTGTAAGAAAAGTCAGAAGTCGGAGAGAAAAAATATAATATATAAACATGATTATATCTTATTTGTAGCAATGGACTGGTAAGGAAATGATCGTAATCAACGTAACCCAGTCCGCAACATACTCCTGTTTTTACCGGAATGTTATCAAGAACGAGGATAAGTTTGCAGCAAAATATGGAGTGGTGACGGTCACAGGAGTTCGCCCAAGGTAAGTCACCAAAATGTCAGGTTTATGGCACGAACTCTTGTCCATCGTAATACCTTATGTCTGCATGATCATGGTTGGAGACTTTACTTAAAGATATAGACCACTTATGGTCATGCAATTGTATTGTAAAAGAAACGTTGTGTGTACTGCAAGAAATTTGGCCCAGTCTTGATAAAGTTACAAGCACTGTACACAAAAAGTTGTATATGGGACTACCCGACACGTGCGTGACACATGCGTATATCTATCAGGTCCAAATAGATATAATAATTTACCAACTATATCAATTAGTAGGCGGTTTCTCGGCAAAATTTGTATGATCACGTATTAGTCAAAACATATTCTTTCACATGTTTGGTAATAAGAGCTTCCATTTCATTTTTTGAGAGAGGGCCATTTCCAAAACCTTTAAACTGCTTATAATACCTTTATGTCATATAATTTAGACCTGGCACAATGCAAGGTGTTGAAAATTCTGCAACCAAATGAATATATCAAATTAATCCAGTCATGGAAAAAAAAGGAGAAATTTATGTTCTGTTGACTTGAATTTTTGTTCTTTAGTAGTTACAGAAATATGGTAATTAGTATGGGATGAAGAAGTGAAGACTCCGTACCCTAAAAGTCCATACTGTGCTGCGTACAATGATGCTACCTGTCACAACTACCTGCAACTTGTCTCTACTGCATCTGTGTGAACTGTAATGAGCAAAACCTTGCTTTTAGCAAGAGCGTACATGTAAGTGACTTTTACAAATTTCTATTTTTAAAACCTCTGTCCCTTTTCTCATCAGCTATTGTGCTGCGTACAACGGTGCTACCTGTCACAACCAGCTACCTTCCAGTCCGTACTACATCTTTGTGAACGGTCACGGGGACGAGCCTCTCGCCCTTGACAACAAGCTGTCTGAGATCCTGTCGAGTAAGACCATGACGAGTATGCCAGAAGACTGTCAGGCTGGAATCAGGGAGCTGCTGTGCCACGCGACGCATCCCAAGTGTCAAGTGGTAGGCCAGAAGCCAAGGGGACAAAAAATCTGCAAGTAAGTGACCTCAACAATACTGTGAACCAGAATCTTTTACAACATGATATTTTTTTCTTGACAGCAATTTTCACAGCAAGGAAAGAAAACAGTATTGTTCTATCAGTAGGGATTCAGGTATTTTTCTGGCATGAAACTTTCCCTAATTTTAAACCACTTGCAAATTCCCGAACATTTCATGCATGCAAACCTTTCGAGCCTTACAATTGGGTAGTTAGTAAGTATTATGAGATGATGACATGGATCCTAGTCGAATGATTGGTTGATAGTAAACACGTAACCAGGCATTTATTTTGCCTAACACGTAATTTGGATCATGACCAGTCATTATCCAATGCTAATGACCGGTCATTAGCATACATGCCAACCGTTCAGATTAAAGAGGAACATTCCTCTTTTTGGGAGAAGATAATTATCATTTTAATGCAGGTGTTCCTCTTCCTGTACAAATTTGTCTGTAGTATTGAATAGGAGAGTTAGGATTGTTCCTCTTTTTTTTGAAAATAGCATAATTTGTACAGATTTCTGATTTTCAAATGTTGGCATGTATGCATTAGTAAAATCATGTTATAAAACATCATTTTATAAAACAAATAAAACATAATCTTATAAAACAAATAAAACATAATCTTATAAAACAAATAATACACATCATTTTGTTCGGGCATTAGTAAAATTACCCACACTCGGTACCTTAAAAACAGTCCAAACACCCTCAGCTACCGCCTTGGGCATGTTAGACCGTTTCAAAAGTACCTTGTGTGGGTAATTCTTACTAATGCCCTCACTGCTGTGTATTATTTGTATAATATCCAAGTTACCTTTCGAAGGGTGTGTCATCTGCGGTGATAGCCAACAATGTTTTGTGTATGTGGAAGGTAACAACCATGGATAGCTCATACTAATGCCCAAAGAGGTGATGTGCATGAGTGGTTTAAAAAAGTGATCCTAGATCTGTGTGATTAGATAAATCAATCTCACCTCAAATCTAATCATGTATACCAAGACTTGAGTGACAAAGGTAGATCTAGACAGTCATCTGGCAGGCCATTAGAAATTGCCAATGACCAGTAATTAGCGCTTTCCAATGACCATTACTGTTACGCATTTTGAGAAATTAATGCCCTATTATTTGGGATGGAGGGACAGGTAGCATTTTTATTTTCCATTCTGACTAACGAAAGTTGAATTTTAAATGATTTCAGTTTTCATGCTGGATTTGATAAGGGTTCCTTCTAAAAAAAGGTGTTTTTTCCATTCTAATTCTATTTGATTTGTTGTTGATGTTTGTAGGGAGGATTGTGAGATTGTTCAGAGCATGTGTCCAGAGTGGGCCCAGCTGGTTAACCGATTCCTTGACCCTCTTCCTGATAAGATACGCAGTCTTGGCCTGAGTTCATGTGAGAACCTACCGGAGAACGATTGCACATCGTTATGGCCTCTCAGTAAGTACATTCGAGTCCCGCCACGGCACCAATGTCCTTTGACAAGACATTGATCTACACTTGCCACTTTTCACCCAGGTGTTAAATGGGTACCGGTAGGAAGGAATCCCTTAAAATGCTGTGAGCGTCGAAATCGGCAGCCTAGCATAGCCGGGTAATGTTGGAGCGTCTTGAGGACCTTGCAAGGTCGATACGTACGCTATATAAGAATCCAATATTATTATTATTATTATTATTCATACAGGTTTTCTTTAGTAAATTAGTCCCCCTTTGGCAACCATGTTTTGGGGGAAATCATTGTAAATTAAAAATGATTTCTTAGGAGTAAAAGTAATGCAATTCATGAATAATTTTGGATTCAGCAGAAAGTCAAGCTAAAGTAAGCTAAGAGAGCTGAATTGATTGTAAATTGAATTCCTTTTTTAATTGCAGCTATGAGTACCTCTTGTATTGGTTATGTTGAAATTTTCAAGAGATGAAATGCTACAAACGTGAAATTCTAGTCCTTTTTGGGGCCAATAAGTAGCTTGAACTAGACTTTTAAAAGCTAATTGCCGCTGAAGGCCCAGTCTGCACTAATGCTGAGCTAGCTGAGCTGTCCCAAACTTGTGTTTACCCAGATCATTTGTATTGCTATTGTTGCTTCATCAATACTCAGTAAGGAAGATTTCTACAGAGCTCCTTCTTCCCGGTCTACTACAGTGACATCTATGAGGTGTATGATAATTCATTTCCCATTTTTCATATTACATACATTTTCTTGTGAGAATAGCATTCAAATTTAATTTTATTATAACAGTGAAAAGATTGATACAGGATTTTCTACCCATGTGCACCAATTGAAACCCATACCGTCTTTAATGATACTGTACATAAAGAATGTATTTATTTATATAATATATATTTACTAAATCATTCTTAAATGTCTTTATTTTACAGATGACACAAGCCTACCTACAACAGGTGAGTTTTCATACCTTAATGCACAATTAGTATAAATGTTTTAGAGTTACGAACAGAGGCAGTGGTTGAATTCTTTGCTTTTCTTTATATTTTTACCCAGTTTGACTGAGCACAGTGCTGCATTAATCAAATGTCCTTATTAAAAACAAGCCATATTTAAGAATTTAACTTCTTGTATTGTAGATTGGCACTTCTCATCATGACATCCTTTTGATTATAATATCTCCAGATATGTATGAAAATGAAAATTATTATTAAATTAAAACAATGGGCTCTGAGTTTCGTCCATGATAGAATACATTTTTGTTTCTTATAAATGTTCGAGAATATTGCAAAACTTCCTACATACTTTAACTGAACAATTATTTCACTTTATTATCAACAGCTTCCCCGATAGTTTTTACATCACCAACTACAAGAAGCCCTCCTACATCTGCTCCACCGAAACGCACACCAAGTGGTTTTGGAGTTGGAGGAAAGCCCGTAGATGAATCTGAGCAGGAACCCTACCTCTTCCTCATCCTCGTCATCACAATCCCCAGTTCCATCGTCGTGTTGATAGGAGTCAGCGCAATAGCCTACGGTGTGCGACACTACAGGAATTCCAAGTTTCCACTGCCCAAGAACATTGATCTTAAGGATCTGACGGAGAACCTGATGTACGGCAAGAATTTCAACACCAGCTTCAATCCTCAGTTGGCATACCTAGAGTACAACAGGAATAACGTCATCTATGAGAAGGACATTGGGGAGGGTGCCTTTGGGAGGGTTTTCATGGCCAGCGCTCCAAAGTTGGTGGCGGGAGAAGCAGAGACTAGTGTGGCTGTCAAGATGCTGAAGGCGACCGCTGATAAGGTCGTGACGGAATATTTCAATCGCGAGGCGCAGATGATCGCAAGGTTTTCCCACCAGAATATCGTCAAACTATTAGGTGTGTGCTTTGTAGGGAGGCCGTTGTGTCTCCTGCTGGAGTACATGTCAGAAGGAGACTTGGAGGACTACCTCCACTCCCGGAGCCCTCATCGCTCCAATTCTAGAACTTCAAACAGCCCAGGCAGCGGGCTGAAGACGTATGAAAAACTCAACATGGCAAAGCAGATTGCCTGTGGCATGGCTTACCTGAATGAAATGATGTTCGTGCACAGAGATATTGCCACAAGGAACTGTCTAATCAACAGCAGAACTGACGTTAAGATATCAGACTTTGGGCTGGCCAGATATGTTGGTCACAAAGAATGTTTTGTGGGTCACAAAGAGGAACATATCCCAATCAGATGGACTGCACCAGAAGCATTATGGGATTACCAGTTTACGTACGCATCCGACGTGTGGTCGTTTGGCGTGCTCCTCTGGGAGTTGTTCAGCTACGCGGAGCAGCCGTACCTGAATCTGTCGCACGAAGACGTCTTCCTGCACACGCGGCAAGGCTACAGGTTGAGTAGCCTTGAGAACACCCCACAGAAGGTCCACCAGATCATGGGTGAATGCTGGCAGGCCAACCCTGCAGACAGACCCTTCTTTAAACAACTCCAAGACTCCCTTGCCAGCATGGAATGTGAATGGCTAGCCAATGGGGAAGAGACACAGTCTGAATGAAATCTTTGTCCTCTTCTCAAAAACTTTTACAACTTTAGGATGGCATGAAGCAAGATAAATATTAAGGTTCAATCCTTTTTTAGTATCATAAATGTATGTGCATCCAAATCTTGATGGAATTATTTCTATTACTTGACCATTACACCTGTTTTACATAATCTTTGGGTATGTATCTTGGCTCCCTCATGAATCTTTCCTTTTTGAATCCTGAAGTACTGAAGCTCTGTTCATTGGTACTTCCAAGTGTGCAGCATTTATGACCCCCTTATCCTTATTATTACTCCAGTCACATCTGCAGCACACCAGCACCAGACTGATAAACAAAAGGCAATATTGGCTGGTTTCAAGTTGTTTTAGCAAAGTGACCGAGGCGCATGTGGAATTGTTACAAATTTGCATCAGATCAAGAATGCAGAGAATAAAGTCAAATTTTAAATTGAAATAGATTGAAATCTCTGTTAAAAGCTATTCACGTCTGTAACACTGAATATTAAATGACAAACGAATTTGCAGCAGTAATACAGTAAATCTACAGCATAAATTGTGTTTTCTTCTCAGATGAATCATGAATGAAGAATCAATACCAAAGTTGAAAGAATTTCTGGTAAATTTTGGTTACAAATGTGAACTTCAAGAGGAATCAATCATCTGGTATGTGACAGCTTCAAAGATTCATGAATTTTAATACAGAAACCGCTGAAGTAACGACAAAGCACTATACATTGTGTTAGTAGGATGTTCAGTTAATATGGAAAGTACTTTATCATATCAAGCCACACAACTTTGTTTCATTTATGTTCAGAATTTTTCATGCTGCATTCTTTTATCAATTAATGTCTTTCACTGCTTAAAGGTAATACAAAGTTTTGGTATGGGGTCATGAATTTGGTTCAAATGAACATATTGGAAGCATATGCGATCCTACAATTTTCACTGATCGACTCTAAAGTTATGAAATTGTAAATAATAAACACTTTATGTTGTATAGCTCCCTCTCAAGGTCAAGATAGCTATAAAACAATGTTTCTTGACTAAAATCGACCGATTAGCTATTCCCGATCGGAAATTAGATACCAAAACTACATATTCTGAGATTTTCATGGTCGCAGCAGCTACCATTGTACGGCCGTAGGAGCTATTTGAAATTTATCAAAATTTACCGGGAGCACCGGTAAATCTTTATATTCAATTTTTCTCGAAAGCAGAAGTGTTTTAGGGGCTAAAGATTCTAGTGCTATTAATACATCCACAGGGGCATCCAAATATACCAAAGTTGTTAAGAATCTTTATCAACCCATTTTTCCCAAAACTTTGTAAGACCTTTAAGGTTTTAAAATGTAAATTTCATTCATCTGAAAAAAAAGGTGAATTTGATCTTTACAACATTTAGGTACTTATGCGGTTTCCACAGTGGATGAATGAGTCAAAAACACTGATTTTCTACATTTTTAAAACTCATTAACCATAAAGATTATATCACCAGACTTGGGAATGTTTGATTATATTTCATTTGTCATCGTTTGAAAGTTTGAAAGTGTTTCCATGGATACGGCAAGGGTTTGTGCTGATCTCCTTCCTTAACAAAGGAAGGAGAAAAGGAAGAAAGTTTTATCCCTCCTGGTTTTAGAGATATGATTATTATTATCTGTCCGATAGGTATTATTGCCCATTCATAGGTTACATTTATACTTGTATTGATTGTAGAAATAAATAATAATAATAATAGTGGGTTCTTGTATAGCGCTCATGTCAGTCAGACTTGACCCTCCTGGCGCTCCCGATTATTACCCTGGCTTTAGCACGGCTGCCATACGGCGCTCTAGCATTTCAAGGAATAAATTCCTACCAGGTACCCATTTACTTCACCTAGGTGGAGTGTGGCAAATGTAGATCAATGTCTTGCCAAAGGACATTAGTGAAAGCTAATGAACAAGTATTCAATTCAATTAAGAAAACAAATATTTTGGAACTCACAAAAATTGACGAAAAGATCTAATACAGTCTTAATGTGAAAAAAACTATCAAAATTGGCGTGTTAATAAACAAATAAAAAACAAAACATGAAATGCCTTTTTTTGGTAATACTTGTTCCTTGTCTACAGACAAGGATACTAATAATAAGTAGGATATCAATGCGAATTAATTGGCCTTTAAACACTTCAACCACCCAATTTTTTTGTTGATTTTTTGCCATTTTCTAGTGCAAAAACTCATCTTCATTGTGATGATTAATTGAACTTTACATCTAGTCAAGTGATCTTAGAGTATAATTTCAAAACTAGAGGGAGTCTAACCTTCAAGAAACTCTTCTCGTACTCTAATCATCCAGGATAGGGATAGGATTTTTTTAATGACTCTGTGATAGGATTCTGAGGTCAACAGACGTTCTAGTTTTCTTGTAAACATGGCAAACCACACAATGTGGTCAATTATCGCAAATGAGTTATGTATTTCATAGAGAAAGGTACTGGATTTATTGTGAAGATGGTGCACATTTGATTTTATTGAAGCTTTATAAGCTGCAGCTGTTGAGGTACTACCGTTGATTCATTCCGTGTTTATAAGAAAAGATGGTGCTTATTTTTATATTTGACTTATAACACATTGAGTGATAACTGCTTACTAAAGCCCCTTTCAGATATGACACTGTAAACCGTTGTTTTTTTAATATTATTTTTATGACGTAAGTGTTATTCGTTTCACATTACTGTATCTTATAACACAAAGCTCAGTGAATAATCTTTGTTGGGTGTAGTTGCCATTCACATCTGAAGAAGCGTTAAGGCTCTATCTTTCTACAATGCCCGCTCATGATATATTATACGAATGATGCATGTACATGAGTTCATTATACGATCTATCCGCACTCGAATTGAGGCTGTGTGTATCTATTTCACGAAGCCGTTAGGCTGAGCGCGATAGATACACACAGCATCAACGAGGGCGGATATATCGTATAATGAACTCATGAAAACATGCATCATTTGTTTTATACAACGAAACTCCTAGATCCTTGTTATTTGATTTAAAAAGAATTCATTCAAGATTGTTTCGACAGTATGGCTAGGCTGACCAGGGAGGTGAAAGAAAAGGAGGCGAAACTCTTGTAATTTATTCAAACGCATTCTTGAGTTCTAAAGCGTAACAATGGGATGTGTAACATTCGACTTGGCTTTGAAGTTCCATGCTCCGAACCGCGCTTCCACTGCGGGGACTTTCGGAAGCCAGGCACCAGTTTTACATTTATTACAAAATATTAAATTACCGGCAAAATTTCAGTGTAAATAAAAACTTTATATGGGGATTTTATTGGGAATAGTGCATCAAACAAATTTTCAAATTTAGAACTCCGTCCTTCCTTTAATCTGTGTGCCAGAGTTGGTAAAAGAAAAATTACATCCTGTCAAAAACTCAATATTTTAGGATGATGCGCTAATTTGTGCATGCTTTAATGTCCCGTTATTTGATCCATGATTTACAATCTTCAATAACATTAAGTTTGCTAATGCCTGTTTTCGCGTGTTTTTTGTATTTTTCAAGTTTAAAAAAGGATGAAAGTACACAAGTTTGTGTTCGCTTGTTCTACTCTTTACACATTCAACAATGGATGAGAAATCATTGGAAGGGACAGCGAACAGTTGCAGTGATACCATTTTCTGATGTAGGAATTCTAACTCCTGAAATTTCATGCGCTCTTTTATCTCACCACCTGGTCAACAGTTGCAGATTAGCGCATAACTTTTCGGCGGCTTGGAGCATGGGGTCAAAGGAGAGCGGCTTGATTCCAGTCCTTCTCTATCACGTCCCTGGGCTGACAAATAAATCTCAAGTTTAATAAGGCTTAATTTAGTGCGCACACATAGATATAGTAAATGCAGTGACTTACCTCTATACCCATTTACGCATAGTGCTGCGCAAGAATAGGCCCATGCACACGCAGTATTAAGCGCTCTAACCTCTATGCGCACTACTGCGCACTGAAAATGCATGCAATAGGACTGGAAAATATTGCACTAGGCTCAGTAAATGAATCACACGTGACCGCGCATGACCAATCATTTGATTAAGATCTGGGAGTGAGTTGTATAATTCAAAAGGTAATTGCTAACTTATGGTAGCTCGGCTAAAACCAGGAAAAAAAATACTATTCAGCACTCTGTATCCTCAGGAAAAAGCGTTTCATAAATTTGAATATTATTTATGATTTAGCCATCTGTTGTGTGGGATACAGGTTTGTGTTTTCATGTTCTTACATTTAGATGTCCATGTAAACGTAAGATGTCTCATTTTTCGATATTTTTTCAGAAAATCAAATAGAAAAGTTTGATAATGCTAAGCTAGAAATCATCATATTACCATATTTGTTTAATTTACTTTAGGTCATGTTCTGTCTCATTCAATCATTTTATCATTAGGGTCGTATTTACATGTAGAATACAACTTTATTACCCAAGAAGGAATTTGTGAGAAAAGCTTAGAATATGAGAGTTACACTATATATGCCAATTCACATCAGTCATCATTCTATATCTATCTTACCTTTTATTTATAATTTTGTCAACTGTTTCTGCTTTATCTATCATCAAAGGATGAAAAATGGCATCCTTAGTGATGAATCTGCGCTTCTTATTGTATGTGTAGCATTCAGACTCTTTTCTGAGTATGGTGCATGTATATTACCTGACCGTATCGAGGCGAGTGTTATATAATCATGGAAAGTTTGCGTATATTTCTTGTTTGTTTTTTTATCTCAGAGATTGTCTATAAACTTCAGTTGTATGATTGAAAATTATGTTTATATATCAGCTTATTTGTTTACAAAAATTATCATCAATGAAAGCCTAAGGAATACACAACACTGTCTTTATCTGTGGTTATTCATTAGTGAAATGTTGTATCAGTGCCCAAGTATCTCTGCATTTGTGGCACATTTTTTAAATTAATTTTTATTGGTTCTATTATACAAGCGAGCTTTCCTCGATGTTTTAGTACTGAGCTTTTTTTTAAACTGAAGCTCTTGGCTTTTCAAAGCTTATATTGTTGGAGTGGGGAAGGTGGGGTAAATTGATTCTCCACCTTTTAATTTTTGTTCCAATCTTCCAACATTGATTTAAGCATTTTAAACTGAAATTTGAGAATATACCTAAGGTCTCATACAAAATATTGATTTCATTTTAACAAGTTTCATTGAAAGTATTCACCAAAGATTTGGTGAATTCTGGAAAGATTGACATTTGTATTTTCAGATGAAAATAATTTCTGAGATTTTTTGCAAAATCTTGTCACTATATTTTAGCTTTTTAGAAACAGGTTCTATTGTAAGTCCAAATGATGTAATATTTTATTAATCTTAAAGCCCCACTGTACTACTTGTAGCTACTTGCTCCCTCTATATAGAAAACAATGGCTAATCGGTGACCAGTTTCTTATGTTAATTGAGAGCTGAGTTGGTGAGATAGCCGCCTGACCATGCAGGGAGGTCTTATCCTCCTAGCCAAACTAGTACAGATGGCCTTTAAATGAAGAGTGTTGATATTAGCTAATCAATCGACTCATTTGAATAGCAAGTTAACCCCATCTTATTTGTACAAAAAGAATAAATACAAAACTATGATCTGTGGAGATAACTTTCTATCTTTGTGAATAAAAAAAGAATAAGCAATTTTCCGCAGATAAAGACAGTCTTGATTTTGAATGTATTACATTATTCAATGTAATTTTGTATCTTTTTTTATATTACATGAAAATTCATTAAATCTATATATGTGTGATGATGCACATAAAATCATATCTCAAGATTGTTTGATTTTAAATTCAGTAATAAGTTGATGTCCATAACTGGAAATGTAATGTGATCTATTATTGTGAGAGGGGAAGATCTAAATGAAAGGAAGAAGTGTGGCATTTTAAATTGAGGGA